AGGAATGCCCGGTACACAATTTCTGAAAAAATAAATTAGGAGTCACAGCAAGCCACAAAATTCAATTTCAGTGTCTAAGCCTGTCTCCACAAAAAAGTCTGACTTCCACAATTCTGGAATTACTAGCTATGAGGAAAAGAAGCTCCAGAATCAGAGTGCTAATAGTCTAGATTTTATTTGTTTCTGACAGTACTTCATTTCTGAATTTTGGAAACAAATTTTGAATGCAAAAATGCAATGGTGCAAGCCAGCTAGCAATATTTCTAGACCTCATGGAGGAATTCAAAGAGGTTTGTTAGAAGAAATATGTAACATTCAAAAAAAAAAAAAGAAAAAAGAAAAATAAGAAAAGTGCCCACATTATGGACTGATGTTTATACACCCATCCACAATCATTCCACCTCACCTGACATGTATATGCATAACTTACATAAAAATAACTAAGGTTTACTGGCACTCCAATTCTTAGCAATTTTGCTGAATGCTAGAGGTAGGAAGTAGTAAAAAGCTTAATGAAAAATAACTGAAACTTACATCTGTTGGTAATTCTAGCTCCTCATTGGTATAATTATGATTTATTTCAAGTAAATCCTTTGGAAAATATCCAAAGTCACTTCCAACCTGCCGGAAAACAAAACCAAATAAGCGACATTTAAATAAAGTGCTGCAATCATGAAATTATGAACGAAGTACATGTTAAGAGTCCTAATTACAGACACTAATCACAAATGCATCAAACCCAAGCAATTCTAGATGAAGTTCAATGCAACAGAGAGGAGAGAATAGTTAGCAATATCTGGTGTGTACTAGAATTCTCATGCAAGTATTATAGGCATAGCTGTTCAACAACGTTATGAGGCTGGGAAGTTTTATTATTCCTGCTTAAAGTTTGACTTTATATAGCAAAAAAAAAAAAAGTTATTAAGAAAGTTCGGAATGAAATCCAAGTGCTCTAGCTCACATAGGCTTTTATCTGCTAATCTGTTCTCTCCCTAATACCATATTTGTCTAAAATATTTTCTTAATTAGTAAGCAGAAGAGAAGCGCTGATTAGTAAGACTTACCTCCTTATAAATTATTATTGCACAGTAATAATACTGTAGCCTGTAAATATACTCATTTTGTACTTTAAGGAAAAACTATTTCTTTGAACAGATTTTAGGGAAATAAAAACTGTACTCAAGTTAATAATCTAGTCCTGTATGCAAAGCACACCCCATCTGCAAATATACTGTTCATCTTTAGTGACTACTGGGAGTGACAAGTAGTTGCAGGTCGCTGTTTAAAAGCAAGGTAACAGCTCAGACAAGGCAAAGAACCCAAGACAAGAACATCTCTTATCACTCACTGGATAAGATCAACACAGCAATGCTCTCGCTTGAGAGTTCTGACAGCTGCTGTCAAGAAGCCAATATTAATAACTTGCTATCGCTATGCAGATTAGATAACCCAGGCAAATAGAGCCCTGCAGACACACCCAGAACGGTAAAGAGTTCCTAGAGGACCAAAACGTCCAGGAGAAGAAAGTGTTGCTCATTTCCTGAAGGTTTTGTTATAGGCGGAAGGAAACTGCCAACTTTCTTGGAGAGTTTATTTGTGAGGAGCACTCAGTTAAGGACCAAATTAAACAGAAAAACAGTTATGGCCAAAAAAAATATTAGGGAAGCCAAGTTTTGTTCCATTGATGTAACTGAAACCAGTTAATCTTGGCTGAAATTTTCTAGATTTACAATAGCACAGAGAAAAATCTTCTCCAGTCGATAAGAGGTATTAAATTTTTGGTTTACGCAAGCAAAATAAGTACTGATATGTTACGAGATTTCCTTTTGTATTCAAATCCTACATTCCATAGTTAAGATTTTAAGATTTCTAAATCTAGTTGGGGGAAGGGAAGAAAACAAAAACAAAACAAAACACTATTAACTCCCTCCCCACACACATACACATTTTATAAACATGCACTGGACCTAGTCTCTTACGAAAAATAAATCTTGTATGCAGTTTTTATACTGCAAACTAATTCTCATGAATGGAAATCTAACTAGATAAATCAAAAGCTTGTTCCTGGGTTACATGCTGCAGTTTTATTCTAAATTGATAAGTTTCTCTCTATGAAGTCTTATTCCTGTTTTCAATAATCTTGGCAGAAACAAAAGTCAAAGCTTTCAAGTAGCCTCCTTACAGACTAATCTCCGTGACTACCATTATAATTAGGCATTGCAATTTGGAACCTATTTAGTATAATCCAAGCTGCTGACTGCACAAGCTCTCTGCAGTGACCCAGTTTGCAACCTATATGTTTTATGACCTGTGCAGGACCTATATGCCCCAAATTTTATCTCCCTACAATTCCTATCCTCCAAGGGAAAAAAAAAAATCATCTTTGCAGAGTTATGCAAGGAACGGAAATGCTCTTAATTCTGCATGTATATGACACAGGAAAGGCAATATGCATGCCAAGTAAACGAGGGAGAAAGACACACCCCTCGGACCACTCAGGGGCAGCTTCCCTCTCTTGCTAGCTAGAATGTCCAGAGTCGTAAAAACAACATGTGTGCACATGTGTGTGTACAGAATCTGTCCCCACATGTCACAGCAGCTGGCTGTTGCAGATTAACCAAAACTTAGCAGTGACAGACCTGAGCAGTCCCTCACTCTACCTATCTTAATGGCAAAAAACAGGGATTTTGGTAAACAAGATGCTCAAATGCTTTTAATCCTAGCCCACATCCCTAAAGCATAAGCATCACCAGAAGGGCTGTCATCACAGGTAGCCAAATCTGCGAAAACATTGGTCCAAGGAGTGAAGCCCTTTTGGTTTGCTGTTTTTAAGTGCTGGCATTATTCACAAAGCAAGAAGCACTAATCCCCTGATTCTTTAGCTCTTCCAGACATAATCTGTCCTCTGGTCTTATTTTAAGTTAACTTCAACTTTCTTTCCTTTCTGCTATGTTTTATATGAGATTTGGGGCAGGGGGAAGTTATCGACAGTCAGGTCCATTTCTTAAGGCCAGAAACAGTTATTTTTGTTATGCATCATGAAAAACAAGGCTCAGCTCTTCACCGTAAGATAAAATAATAGTCTTGTGCAGCAAAAACATGAGGCATCTTTGCTAAAGCATTTGTTACAAAAGAGCAGTTTTTGCTTGAATTTTCTGAAGTAGTCGCTTCACCTAAAGTATCTCACTTTGCCTGCTTGTGCTGCCTCTTTGCCTTGCTAAAGATGAGAGTGCAGAAAAACAGTATAAGAAAGTATGTTTACGTCATCAAGTTTTGTGATACAATGAGGTATATGCTTAAAGAAGAGTCTAGTTTTAGAGTAGGACATGAAGCACTAGACAATGAAAGTACCAAATATGTTCTATCACTTTGCCTTTGGGAAAAGCTCAGTTGTTTTTCAGACTTGAGGTATTCTGGGAAATTGTAATATAAAAATTGCTCAAAATACTGTCTCAGCACTTGACGATGCAGTAATGCCGAGGCTTAGAGAGCTCTGCTAAAAACAACATGCCATGTAATATAAAAGATAGATATTATAGATGGGTTTCAGAAATTTTTCAAAAGCAATATACTTATAGAGCTCAATGGGAACTCTGCAAGCAATATTCTACAAAGTGTACGAGACTGGGTTCATAAAACAAAGATTCTGTTATGTTAAAGCAGATTTACTGGCATGGCTCGAGAGAGCACGTTTACTGGCAAGAGCTCGAATAGAGCAGAGTGAACTTGGTAAGTCAAGGCAAATAAAGCCCAACTACAACTGCTTTAGGTTTTGATGAACCATTTCTCATCAGATCATCTCCTGTCGAGTCAATAGTATTTCTCATGGCTCCTCAAGATCAATTGCAGGATTCAAGCCTGTATTTATAACTTGCTTGGAACAAGCCCCAAGTTCCAGTATTTCAAGTTTCTCACGTGCACTTTCCCCTAACTGCCGCCCTAGGAGGAGAGCATCTGCTAGGAACATCCATGAGTTAGTCATAAATTATACTCCCCCCCTGCAAGGGGAAAAAAATCAAGGCTTACATGTAATAGAAAATCCTACAATAGATTTCAGACTATAAACCTTCCCTAAAAGATAAAACTTAATGACTTCCAGTTTTCAAAAAACTGTAGGTGGTTAAGTTGGAGTCATCCCCAGATTTCACAGTTTTCATTATGCTCTAAGTTCTCCCCCAAAAGCCTTGGAAAACGGGAAGAAGAAAAAAAAAAAGGCAGTAGGGTCAGAAGACGGACGTGGAGACACGTGACGAGATTCACAAAGGGGCTGCAGCAGAAGGTAACGTGTCTTCCACAGAAATTTCTTTGAGCTCAGATCTCACAAGGTAGCCTGTTTCTAATTTGCCAACAGCAGCTCTTCCCAGCTCCAGGGCTCCACATAGCTGGCGCAGCTGGCCTGCGTAAATCACGTTGCCCAGCCGAATCTGGCACGTGAAGTCACACTGCAGGAGAGAAGGACCTCTGCTAGCTGCAAGTGCATGGCTGCAGCATCAGGGTCTCACCCCTCCGCAGGCCTTACAACCCATTTGTTGCAAAGCAGGATTAGTGCAGAAGGAGTCAATGGAACTGGTGAAGGTGTGGGGAGGACAGGGGGACCACACTCACAGACTGAGAGGGATTAACCTGTATTTCATGGTCCTAAGAGAAATACGGGAAACTCTGAACACAAAGTAAATAAATTAATAGGTGTTTCACAGTTCTTTCAGACCTGCCAACTTCAGCTATTACTTGCTAAAATCAAAGCAAAAGTCCTTTCGAAACTCAGAGACATGCACCTACCTGTTGCATTAGCTCCCTCTCAGGGAATATGGTTAAACTGAGTATTAACTCAGCAGTTACTGGAAACCTGCGGCTTTGTTAGCAGAAGATGCAAAATTGGCCCCATGTTACTACTTTGCATCTGCAGAACTGTTAGCTGTGAAAACTTATACCATCTAATTATCCAGATTATTTATGGCACAGTACGTGTCAGAAGGGAATTACCAGCATGATACAATTACAAACTCTCCTTTAACCACATGCTGCAGTTTTCTAGTCTCTTCTGTGTCATTTTAATTGGATTCGGCTCTTGCTGAGAGCCTGGCTTGTCCACACCCAGCCTGAACAGGCTAGGGAAAGTGATACATCCTGCTTTCCCCTAAACCACCAGTCCCACAACACACACAGGTGCGGCTGCGGCCTCTCAGACCACTGCGAGAGGCAGTGCCTCTGGTGGCAGAGCAGGGTCAGAAAGGAGGCTGGAGGAAACAATTTGGATACAAAGAGCGAGGGAAACAGAGGGGACGAAATAGCAGGGAGAGGCGAGCGAGGAGGAGGTGGACCAAGCAACCTCCAAAGCACCAGCGCTTCTGTGGGAAGCCCTGATATGCAGATATTTCAGAGCAGGTATCTCAGAGGACTCGAGAGGAGCCTTCTGCAGGAAAAAAATCTGCAGGCTTCCACTCAAAGAAGCTCTCGCCATACAGATCTTCCCTTCACGTTAACATCACCCTCTCAGACTGCTTAAAGAGGATGACTGGGTTAATGACACTATTTTGCAAACTGCTACAGTTAGCTACTAAAGCTGAAAGACAGAGCTTTTAAAATCCCATTTATCTTAAGTGCTTTTAGTCTCACTACTTTTCCCTCCCTCCAGCTGTGCATATGATGTAAATAAACGGGGGAAGACAGCAGCCGAATATTAGGATGAGAACTTTAAAACAGAGGTGTGGAACAGCTTTTACTAAGCTCATGCAGAGCGCACAGGGCTCGGGCTTAAGTTTCTCCAGGTGGGAAGGGAAACAGAGTATCTGCTGGACCGATCCAGGGACCAACAGTTACGGTGCTGCGGCACGAGGCTTTCAACACAAAGGAAGTTTTGCAAAAGAAACAGTATTTGTCGCATACGGGCAGGTCCATTTTCACAGAACTTAATGCTTTAAGTTCTCATGCAAGCGCACACCAGCCTTGGCGCAAAAGAGCCCTCGTGATGTTATTTGTTAAATACCCTAAGTTTTCTCCTAAGAGGCAAAGGGAAGGAAGACACCGCCAAAGCGGATGCCAGCAAGGGCAGCGCGTGCCCAGCGGTACTTACGCTGCCCGCCCAAAGCTCGGTGGATTGTCCGATCAGCTTGTAATACACGTAGACCGCTTCTCCCTTCTTAAAATTGACGAAGCGGCAGTCGGGCCCCGTGAAGTCCCGCACCGCCTTCCCTCGGCACATGAGCACTGCGGGGAGAGCGCGAGAAGCGGCGCGTTATCCCCGACACGAGCACCGGGGCGCACGGAGAAGCGAGCGGCGCCCCGGGCTCCTCCGGGAGGAACTCGGCGCCCCGCGAGTCCCCGGCGGCCGCGGCGGGGCGC